CTGCAACCGTCATAAATAGAGTCCGTTGCAAAGTGTCGGCATTTTGATCACGTGACTATAGGGATGCTGCAATGGTCGTTAAGTGTGAAAAACAGTCATTAGCCACTTTTTTCAGCTCCGCTGCAACTTTGAATGGTCACTAAACATGCTGTTGTAACTACCGTGCTCTGCTTAAGCACGGGGTTGGACTAGAAGACCTCTAAGGTCCCTCCCAACTCTTTTGCAGAAACATAAGGAAGGCAACAGGGCAAATTTTCCTCTGCTTCACCCTCCAGACATTCTCGTGCCCCCTCCCCTCCAAAACCACGTGCTATCCCTACCAAAAATCTTTTCAGCCAAGGCACAGTTTCAGTCTTCCCACAGAAAAACCCAATAAATTCTTGGGAATTCCCTGCTTAAAACATTCTTCCGCTGCTTGCTTGGAATTCCTAGCACCACAACATCAACCGTTTCTCTACGAAGGAAGCTTTTTTTTTTTTTTTTAGCTGCAATTAAACCGAGTTTTCCGGTGCCGGCTAAGTTGCAGGCTCTGGTTGAAGCTTTTCCCGCAGTCGGAGCATTTGTAGGGCTTCTCTCCCGTGTGAATCCGCTGGTGGCGGATGAGGTTCGTGGCCTGGTTAAAACGCTCCCCGCAGTACGAGCAGCCGTACGGCTTCTCCCCCGTGTGAGTCCGCCAGTGGCGCTTCAGGTTCGAGTTGTAGCTGAAACTCTTCCCACAGATGTCGCAAATCTTCCGGCTTCTCGCCTTCCGGGGTTTCAGAGGCTCCGGGGAACGAGTGAACACGGGTCCCCGAGCCGCCGGTCGTTCCTGCCGGCTGTCAGCAAGTTCGGCCTCTGAGTGAATCTGTGGGCCCTGATTTGAAAAGGCAGCCATTAACCGCTGAGGAGGGTCTTTCGCCAAGGTCTGCCAAGAGCTCACAGCTTCTGGAGAGGGGAAAAAAAACCCCGAATAAAATCCAGAAATGTTCACTCAAGACAATCTCTACTTGAAAGAAATCAGGTTATTTGTGTAAAAGAGCCGAACCTGAGTGGCTCCATTTTTACACTTTACCTAATAAAAGCAAGCAGCTCCTTGTAACACATTCAGCTTAATACCATATATAGAAGGAACATTTAGGAATATTGGAGCTGGGGGGGTTACCTGAGGAAGAACAGGCTGGGTCAAATGGAGGCCTAATGGGAAAGTGCTGGCATCAGTTTCAAGAGGCTGACATAA